TATTCTCGTTTCACGTAATTTGCATATTTTTAAAATAAAGATGTAATTTGTAATACTATAAATGTACATACAAATAATAATCGAATTATACCTGACACTGCCAGGACTTGTATTAAGGTGCAACCAGTCAATCGGTTCAGATAGTTTCGCATAGAACTCTCTGAAAATAGGAAAGTTATGTGCCTTCAGTTTCAATCCCTTGCCGTGAAACGTCGCCAAAGCTTTCATGCACAACTTCAGGTGATCCTCATCTAATTTTTCATCTACTTGTGTGTAACCACTCGCGGCCAGATCTTCCAATACGATAACAGCCTGATCATCGAATCGACCTAGATCGGACACGTAACACTTCGAGGTGCCGTCTGTTCCATAGTCAAGCGTCATCTTGCTATAAAACATCTCCTCGTTCAAGAATGAGCCGGGCAGCGTAGTTTCCGTACGTTTAGGCAATTTGATAATAAGAGGAAAGCTACACGTTACTCCGGAAAACTTTACGCGTGCCATCACCCGGTGTAGCATGTTCTTGCGACTGATCTTCCGGTCTAGGTGTTCCACGTCGACGGAATCGAGCTCGACGAATTCCCTGGACCCAGGCTCACAGAAATAACGGCCATGGACCATCTCCGGTATCAATATCCACTTTATGAAGTAGCAATGTTTGCATTCGCACTTCCCCACGAATTTCCCCGACTTCGTACAGGGATCTGGGTCGGCCATAGCGAAAGGGAAAATAATATCGCTGTAATAAAACACGGTAGCAATTAAGGACACCGGCACTGCGAGAGCGCGCGCTTAAAGCCGGAAAGTCGAGAATTATGAGGATTTTTTTTTACGCGAGCCCGCTCGTTCTAATAACGTTGTCGCGACGAGTGCCGCGCGCGTTAATAATGTTTATCGTCACGAAGTGCAACGAGTCAGCGGGCGGCGGAATAATTAAAAAACATTTTAAACATGTCGTTAGCCTCACGAGAATGAGTGAAAATGCAACATAGACGTTGATGCAAACGATTCTATCAATTAATAATTAAATAGGTGACATACATAGCTCGCATGATTACAAAGACTATCTAAACGTAACCTAATTAAAGACCCGCTTTATCAGCGGGTTCTAAACTCACTCAAAGTATCTCTCAGCACGTTCCACTTACAACTAATAAGAAGTGTTCACGTGCTCCGTTACACTTTCACAGATCTCCCCCCTCCACGCATTTATTTATCTGACCGATAACAAACTTGTACCAACACGAGTCGATCAGTCTTGTGTGAAATACAAGTCTTAACCGTCTTTAACATTGGTTTTCCAGAACCAATAATTCTTCGGAAATCTAATGTATCTTTCTATTCTTTCTATATGATCTATAATAAATTAATTATTAAATTTGCACATATGTTAAATATTACTACTTATTCAATCTACATTTCTCGTCTTTTTTGTGTTTAAACTCCTCCCCCCCCCCCAAAAAAATGAAGTGTAGATAAAAAAAGGTGATATCACCGTAAATTTTATATAAAATAATGATGAAATATTCAGTTATATTTTTTATCCTTTCGATTTAATCGATTTGAACCAGTTTTTATCGGTTTTTAATGGCGTCGTAAATAAGTTTACCACGCTGAGAAGTGACGAACCATTTAAGAAACGTCGTCGTCTCTTTAAGTACATTTTCATCGACATTTAATCAGAGAAAAGGTCTCGATCTTGAGAAAAGTGGAAGTAAGTTTAAATTGCGTTATATAAAGATTATCGTCGTTAAAGAAATTACTCAGTATAATCGGATCTATATAATTAATTGAATTTTATTTTAACCGGGTGACGCGTGAGTCTCGGACTTTAAATGCTGAGAGAAAAATGTTCTCTCGCCATGCCATAATGAATTTGAAACTTCGAAGACAAAGCACAAATCGCAAAATTCTTATAGAAAACGTATTACACCGTATTTACAAACGTAACTTAAATCATGGTGGAATTCTATAACGGCTTAAAATATTATCTATTATCAGATAAATGAATTTTGTTGAATAACGTTATTTAATTATCGATAGGATGATATTATATTTTGACGAATCGCTGCAACTTCAAATCTTAATGAAGGCAACGACAAGCACCGAACATCTCGTGCTTGACGTTTCCATTTACAATTCAAAATCTAAATTTTCAAGTGTAATTTTCGTAAATTACGGTCGAACTTACTGCGAATAGAATAATGCATTATTGATCACGAAGGAGAACGAACTGGCACGACAGCTGCAGCCGGGATCTAAATTCGTTAAAGCAAATCAATGATCTAGTCTCTGGTACCGATGATTAATTTACCCTGTAACGCGACCTCGATGTCACAGGTCACGCCCTGTCAGAACGTACCCGTGCAGACGAGTCAGTATAATTTTCCAACATGTCAACAACGGCAAACCAGCACTCAGCAGATGCAAACTGCAGCATGCGGTCTGTGCTCCGGAACTTCTCAAGGTACAAAACCGATCATGTCCATCAAACGCTAAATTACGTAATAATTTAATGTCATATAATTTAAGTTGAGTGCTTTTTTACAAATATAGTTTCGCAGTAAAGCGACGAGGCGAAGCCGCTTTATTCAACAAAAGGATATTTTCTAGATATTATTTTTAAAATGTCTAAAAGATTGCATAAAATAAAATACATTCATCCTGAATTTATTCTCTATTTTAATTTTATCCGTTGAATTCATTGTGTATATAATATAATGAAGAGCTGAAAAGTATCGATATATACAAATATTTATTTGTTTGCTTGAAGTGACATCAATTGAAAAATAAATAAATTGTTTAAAATTTCAACAGTAAATAAATTATATCCTTTCACAGTTATATTAATAATAATATTTTCAAAATAATAAATTAATTATTAATATTATCTGTGTCTTTTAATAGAGAGTATCAATTAAAAACAATTAATCAAATCTGCCTCAAGTTTTCGGTAGATATTCTCTTATAATTAAATCGGTAATAATATTTTCGAAATAAATAATTAATTAAACGAGTAATTATCGATTTTCTTTGTTTGTTTAAAATGTAATGTATTAATTAGGTAAAAATTGAGATACTATATACAGAGAGTACGGGCGAGTTAACTAATTTTTAATAATAATTTTATAACGAGAAATATATACATAAGTGGCTGATTGTACATAAATGACTGTTATCAATGATTATGTATTCTATTCCAATTGTTCTCATCTACTATCCAGGAGGACCTATCCCTCATGTTTGTCAGCCGGATACTTACATAGTGACACACCAATGCGCACCAGGTACGTCGCAACCAATAACGAATCCATGTCATCCAGTCTTTCACAGCTTACCACCGACTCATCCCGGTTGCGGCCAGTTGCCACAGAATATTCTGGATCAGATTCGTGCATGCGTTAACAACGCCGCGCCCATCTTTATCCTGCCCAACTATCAACCATCGGCGTCCCAACAACTACAGCAGCAACAGCAGCAGCAGCCACCCATGACTCTTTTGGCACCTCAAATAACATCCTCATTTCCAGCGGGTGGATTAACTTATCCCGCCCTCTGTCCACCCCCTCCTTATCCACCACCGCCCGCGCCACCGCCGCCGTTCTATCCCTATCCCATGCCTTTGCCGTTCTACGATCCGTTTATTCGCACCCTTGAAGCCATGTCGAATTGTGGATGCTGCCAGAGAGGCCAAAGAGGCGGTGTTGACTCGACGGAGATTAGAAACGTGTTACGGGCCGGATGTCGTTACGACGCCAGCGATCTGGCCGAGCATCGCTGCACGCCCAACGTCGACGATACTATCTGCTCGCAAAGGAACTGTCCGGCCTCCCTACATCTGCAAGCTTTGGCTTCACAGTTCCTATCATTGCAAGGCATCATACCTTGCGCTGCCACACGACTGGTGCTACGTAAAGTGCCAGGCTCGAACGTGACCACTACGATGGAAGACACGATGGCGAAGGCGCAAAAGGCTATAAACACCCTGACCAAGGATCAGCTATTATCAGAATCGAAGAATGCGCAGCAAGTAAACACGCTGATTAATCTGCACATGACGGCCAGTCCGCCACCTAACATCATCCCGGTCCTCACGTTAGTACAACTGAAGATGAATCTGCTGAAGGCGCAGGTTGAAGGACTCATCAATCAGAAGATAATGGAGATTCAAGGGGTTGGAGTGGAGGTAACGTTGTCAAATTGTTGGAGAAATTTTAATATACCCACTTATCCCCATAGCAAAAAATCTCACATTCACATCACAATAGTCATGGATAAATTACGTACGTCACTGTACTGCGTTCAGCAGACTCAACAGTTGGCCACCGTGCTGTTGATGTATTCTTCCAGATCTAAAATGCTGATTGGATAGGATCTAAAAGAATACACTAATAATAGCGAGCGCTCAGTCAATTGCCGAGTCCGTTGAATGCGTCCATTGTGAGATGATCAAAAGATCACAGTAACATCACATTGCCGAACGCAGCCAATATTATCTTAATCTTAAGCCCAGTTCCACAACTCACGGTTAACTCTTAACCGAGATTCAACTTATTCATTGTCTCTTTCCAATTTTAGAATTGGAAAAAGATGAGAATTAAGAGAATTAATCACGAGTTACTGAGAACTGGACTTTAATGATTATACTTTAATGTCACAGCAACATCAACTGTGGCAAAGCATTCACACGTCACTATGACTTTATTACTTATATTATTATGACTTTTAGATATCGAAATAATATTCGAACTCATATATCTATTTAATTGTTATCTATTTAATTGTTACACATACTTTTCTTCCCGTATCAAGGTGACGACCGATCTCATAGATCCGACGGTCCTCGCTCTGAAATCTGACGCTGAGCTGCGGGACTTCCTATCGGCGTTACGCCAGAAAGAGTGCGATGAGCGAGTAAACGTAAACTTTGCACCGTATCGTTCGCAACGTGCGATCGCGGAGACTCGGTTGAGCAACGTTCAGAATAAGATCCGTCAAGTGGAGGCAGAGTTTGATCGCAGGCGATGCGCGATGCTGCCGGCGCCGACGTTGTCGTCACGCGTCGTGCAACAATTCTCGAGGCCGTGTTATTCAGCGAGATTCGAAGCTCCCAGGAGATTGTACAGTACGATGCCGCCAGACGTTCATTCGCTAGATCCGTTCATCTATGTAAAACCGCGAACTCCTAAGAGGCTGCTGCTGAAGCCATGCACGGGTAAGCCGGAAACTGTTCCAGCAGCTGGCACGCGTAGCAATCCTCCGAAAAATCCGGACGACGGTAGCGGTGCTGATCGCGCGAAGGAACGTCCCGCGACTCCCGAACAGCAACGTTCCAGCACGGAGAATTGCGCGTATTGCGACAGGACGACGTCGGAGGAGAGCATCGGCGAGGATAAAAAAAAACTCCGACCAAGGATCATCGAAATAGACGCGACGACAGTCAGTAATGTTGAAGGATTGGAATACCAGGCTTTGATAAAGTCAACGTCGAACGTCTGCGTGAGGATAGACACAGAGGGATACGAGGAAAATGCGCGAGAATACGGAGAAAGAAACGAAATTCCATGCAGCGCACAATGTTGGACGGCCAAGGCATATATCAACGTCGCCGACGACGAATCGGTGAGGACTTTAACAGAATCTGAGAGTGATACGGTTACGCTCAGCGAGAAGATCAATGTCGAGGACGTTTGCGAAGCGCGAAATGTGGTTGAGATTCAGAGTTGCGAACGGACAATAAATCAGCAGGAATTTGCAAGTTCGTCAAATGTACAGCAATTTAAAGAACAAGCGGAAGATAAAATCACAATTTCAAGAAGGGATGAAACTATTAAAGAACGCGACGAGATTAAAAGTTTACAAGACATGCTGCAGGAAACTGATGAAGAAAAGGTGAGAGCTACGACTACGGCGGAAGTTGCAAATGAAGAATCAATTTCAAGTGTGCAGGAAACGAAACCAAAATCATCAGACGGCATACGTGCTTCACTACTAAAAATTATATTAAAATCGAAAAAAGATAGCGAGAACGGACAGGAAGATAAAACCGGCGAAATCTTGCCATCAACTGCAGATGCCGTGATAGAACAAAGCACAAGTCAAGTACCAATGAGCAAAGCCAAGAAGAAAATAAAATTTCACATTGTCTCATTGATGACAAATATCAAATACGATAAAAGCCTTATTGAATATGAAAAAAAGGAAAAAGTTGAGAAGGAAATCGCAATGAATGAAAGAGAGATAAATGTAACCACCGATCCGGATATTGAAAAATTAAGTAATCACAGGTCGATAGAAAATCTTCTAAAAAGTGCCATCGCGCACAATATTACTGCTGGAAGATATCACTCGGAGAACATATTTCCAAAGAAAATGGATCTTCCAAAGCTCTGCTTTGATCACCAATGCCAAGCGACATTTAAAGAAGATAAAACTACAACTGCTCCATTGTTAAAAGCAAATATATTTCCTCTATTCAAAAATCTGCATAAACATGTAACAGGTAATTGGTTTCTTTATGTTAACATAATACTCTATATTTAGAAAGAGAAAAAGTAATTTTCCACATTTTTCCGTTTTACAATGGCTTTTCATTAATCAAAATATAATTCTAAAAACTGCATAGTTCTGTGCAGAATATTAAGTATAAAATTGAGTTTAAATCAAAATTTTTTTATTCAGATAATGAGAAAAACGGAGACAACGGAACTTATTCAAATCCGATAACGAAAGCAGGAATTACGACTACAAAACGTTTATCCCGCTGTAACGATGCCACAGGAAGTACCTTGGAAACTCTTTGCACGAATAATGTGCCTTATCATTCCGATGTGGAACGCGAAAGAAGTTTAATTTCGAAACTATTTTTTATCATTGGCAACCGCATGATCGCATTTATCAATAAAATAATTGAAATAATGACCGGAAAATTATTGTATGCGATTCGTAGCGCGACATTCTGTAAAAGTAATGTTCTTAGGAGAGACGTTCCGACAGGCAATTATACCAAACTGACTTTGAAAGATTCTGATTCATTCGCTAGTGTCTCGCATTATTCTTCTGGTTTGAATTATAAAACTTCTAAAATTAGTAAATATAATTTTCACGATATCAACTTATTACGGATTTCTACGAAAGAAGAATTTAATGGAATACGTAAAATAAAACATTCTATAATTGAAGACAAAAAAAACGACAGAAGATATTTATTGATCGGTACATCAAGTCACAATTGTGACTTGATACTAACGCGTGATTTAGGTCGACCTTACAAAGTACAGAGAAGTCTCTTGATACGTAGTCGATTGAAAAATTCTCTAAATTCACAGGATTATCCGCATCCTTTTTCTCTTTTGAAACGTACAGAGGAAAATATACTTCCTCGTCGAGCGAAGCGTAACGAGAACATAGGAATGATCAAAGAAAATGAAAAACACCAAGTGAAGAGTAGTGAAAAATTCTGGACATTCTCAGAAATTGTAGAAATAAACGAAACTAATGGAAAATTATTAGACATGAGAAAATATAAATCCGAAGAACAAATTTTAAACAAATATTTGTACGATATTAAAAATAAAGTATCTACCATACAAAAACATAGTCGTTGATAATACTGCAATCAATAATGAACTCGTAATAAACGTTCATAATTATCTCGAATTGCAAACTGAGATAAATAAGAATATATACGAAAACGTAACGCATGTTTATTGATATCTAGTAACTGATAAAATTTCAGGGTAATATGTCATATACTGAAAAATAATTAGAAATTATAAAGGTATGTTATGATTCTCGCTAAAGGCTGATTAAAGTACACAATTATAGTGTAACTTCTTTACTTTATTAATAACTTTTATTTTTTCGTCAGTGATCTATTCTTTCGTCGCTATAGCTGTCTAATGAGAATCTTTAGAATTGGGGCAACAGTATGACGGTAAACATATTTCAATGTTTTCCCAGAATCATTCATTCCGGACTCTACAAGAGTTGCAAGAATGGAAAAAGTATTTTGTCACATATCCTGTACATTCGTATCGAATCAGCAACATATCATACTGTTACAACGTGAACACATACATATCAAGTACAGTTTAATTCCCTTGCGTGATTTTGCGATTTTTCTAATTTATTAATTAATATATATATCTATATATATATATATATATATTATAGATTTCTTACATTCTAATCGATCCATTATCAGTAAAAAATAAACAAACACATTAGTTGTTACAAGAAAACTAATATCGCAACAACGAAAAATCCCGTG